CGATAAACAGTCGGCTGAATTCTGTTTTGTAGGAATATAGTGTCTATTCCTGGGTTCTGTTACTTCCAAAATCTGTACTACGCGATTGGCGACATAAATCTTAAGTTCATGTGGCTGGGTCTGTAACCAATTGAGTACGTTACGAGAATCCGAAAAAGAATACACTTCCTCAATTTTCAAGTGACTTTTAAGTTTACCAATATACGCAAGTAGTCTGGAGGCAAGAAGAGCAGCGTTTAATTCTAGACAAGGCACTGATTGAACCTTAAGTAGGGCCACCTTACTTATTGCCCTTAACAATTGAATTTTGGTAGCTTCTCCTGGGCACTCAATTCTCAGGTAGATCATACACCCGTAACCTCTCTTGGAAACGTCTGAAAAGGCAATTAGTTGCATAGATGATGCATTCTGGCTGACAGTACAACGAGGCAGGCAAACATTTTTCAAGCTCGGAAATTCTTCAACGAAAATCTTTCACAATGAAGACATACTAGAGGGCAACTCATCATCTCAATCAACCTTAAGCAGTCACAAATGTTGTAATAGGCATTTAACAGAAAAAATGACTGATATATCCGTTTATATCGAAAATTTTGGCAGTGTCAGTACAGGATATCAGGATAGGATACCTCGCTTTGTAAAAATAGGCTCACTTTCCTGTATTGAATACCTGAAATGATCGAGTTTAGGATCCCAAAAACCTTGACAGTCGAGGAATCTCCATCCAGGCACAACGGAATTTCTTGATTGCCCTAGGGTATAACAGAAAGTGCTTTTTCGGAATTGCTTGAGAACTCCCACCTGCTCCAAATAAAGCCATCAACTCATTATACAGATCCAGAGCCTCATCACTATTGCGAGCACCAGTGATTACATTATCTACATAAATCTGGTCATGATACTGGGCAACTTTAGGAAAATTATCGGGAGTGCATGTATTTATAAAGTGATCTTCGCAAAATGCATCTTCCTCAGTCTCCTAAAATCGCTTTAATTTTTCCTGTAAGGAAGGGTTGATCTGTATGAAAAGAGTACGTACTGAAGTTAGAGGACTTTGGCTTTCCGAGAGGGTGTCTCCAAATAATACCCATCCTAATCAGGTATGAATAGCTTTCGGTTGATCCTTAAGAAATAAAACAGGGTCACTTAAAACCTCACCGTACATCTCAGCACCCAGAAGCAAATAAACTTTTCCTGGCATACGAAATTGAGTGTCTTGAGGGGGGGTTGAATATTGCTCTCGAAAAATATGTAGGGAATTTTAATATTTATACAATAAATAAAAATATATATTCATCATTAGCGACACGGGTAGAGCAGCTCCATCCTGACTGTGCCAGGGGCAGAGTCCCATTACTGCCCAACTGTGAAAGCAAAACAGTGAAGCAGTGGAGTATCAATAAAGCCCAACTGTGACAGTGGAACAGTGGAGTATCGATAAAGCCCAACTGCGATAACGGAACAGTGGAGTATTGATAAAGCCCAACTGTGACAGCGGAACAGTGAAGCAGTGGAGTATCGATAAGGCCGAACTGTAACAGTGGAGCAGTGGACTATCGATAAGGCCGAACTGTGACAGCGGAACAGTGGAGCAGTGGAGTATCGATAAGGCCGAACTGTGACAGTGGAACAGTGAAGCACTGGAGTATTGATAAAGCCCAACTGTGACAGCGGAACAGTGGAGCAGTGGAGTATCGATAAGGCCGAACTGTAACAGTGGAGCAGTGGACTATCGATAAGGCCGAACTGTGACAGCGGAACAGTGGAGCAGTGGAGTATCGATAAGGCCAAACTGTGACAGTGGAGCAGTGGAGTATCGATAAGGCCGAACTGTGACAGCGGAACAGTGGAGCAGTGGAGTATCGATAAGGCCAAACTGACAGTCACAAGTACAGTGTATCTGTGAATAGAGTCACAACAGCCCTAGTAAAAGGCATTTTCTCTATTGCCAAGTATCTAATTGTTAAACAAAATATTTGAATGGAATGAATCGATTACGAAAATAAATGAATAATAATCAAACACAAATAAAATTATAATTAAAATTAATAATACTAGTTTCTCGACTGTTAATAATACATATTTTCTGTGGATATTGCAATTCAACAAAACAAATCACGTTATTGTTTTAATATTCACAAATATGATTTATGTATACTTATATATATCACTGGTTTATTGTAAATATATGAAGTATATTTTTGATCTAGATTAATTTTCAAATATGCTTTTTGTGAATTTCTACTTTACTGTTTGATATAAAATCACTGTAAATGCATGGAAATGACCCAAATCCGTTTATGTATTTCGAATATAGTTACAAAAAGTTCACTATTTTTTAATTCCTATAGGGGATTTATTATTTAAAGTTATGAAATGTCTTTTTTACGATAAACACTACATTTTAATTAATTAATGGACAATAGGGCTGTTGGTTAATAAGTATAGTATATAACATATTAATATATTCATAAATTAACTAAGGGGATGGATAAGAAGACTTTTGTCACTGTCACTGGACCGGTGATTTGTCGTTGGAGCAGTGACAGATTTTTCCTGGACCATCACATCCCTAGCTGGAATGCGTTATCAAGCGCTCCTAACAGGATGTCCAGCGATCGGGAAAATCGAGAATTGTATGGGGATTTTTCACAAAAACCAGGAACTTTTCAAAATTTGGTTACTTCTGCAACAAAATAAATGAGCTTGTATTTACATCCATAATAAAGAATATTGTCGTATTCACATAGTCTTAAGAATAAATATTTTTATTAATTATTAAATAGCCTCTGAATAGTCACATTGCGGTGTTTTCCCTTTAGAGTCTATGACATGATTTGGTTTTTCCATGATGAAAATATTATCTATGGGTGGCTGATTAGAGAATCAAGTATAGAATGCCTGGTAAGAAAGACAGGGATTTCCGATACTATTAATTTTGCAAATTTAATATCTATTATAAATTTGTGTAAAAATAAATATATGATAAATAAAGAAGAATAACTCATATTCTATGACAATATTATTGTGTTCATTATCACTTCTGTAACTACAAGTGTATGTATTTTTAAAGGTTTGTATTTTGATGCAAATATTTGTATTTAGATCAGTAAATTGGCCGTAATATTAATATTTAATTTTTAATTAAAAATATTTATACATACTTTTACGTGAATATAACAATATTCTTTATTACACCTACAACTATATTATCAATATTATTAAGTACAACTATATTCGTATTTACGGAAGAGATATGATAGCAAACATATGTATTCAGTCTTATAATTTAAAAAAAAATATATAAATATTTTTTAAATTAAAAGAATATTTATATACAATTTTATGCGAATATAACAATATTCTATATCACATATTTCAATGTGGGAGAATGAGGAAACAAATATGACCAACTCAGATGTGTAAGAGTGGTTTTTACTCGATTGAGTCTCTTAGTCCGCCGTTTATATTGGACAGACCGATAAGAAACTAACAAAAAAGATTAAAGAATATTTACTTGGTTCAGACCGAGAATTGTTGCAAAAAAGTGCTTTCGATAACATTATAGTGAACTCTTATACCAATTAATTCCAACAATTACAAAAACGTGGTGCACCATCTGAAAGTCGATAGTATTTTCATAAAATGTGTCCCCGACAACATAATAATGGATCCTAATATCGATTAAATCCAAAAAGTTACAAAAACGTGATGCATACAGTGTTTTCTTAAAAAGAATATAAAATATAAATTTTGTTACAGGTTTTTTGCATTTACGTTGAGGCTTCTCCTTATGACTTCTAACGATTATTACTTGCAACCATAAGGTTTGGTGCTGAGGGTGGCAGAAAAAAATATCTGTGTATTACTTGCAACCATAAGGTTTTGGTGCTGAGGGTGGCAGAAAAAAATATCTGTGAAGGGTTTTGAAATTCTCGCCCCTAAAAATTTTAATAATTTTATTTTTCATAACTTGTAATCCTTTGGTTATAATAACACGTTTCAAACTCCGACTCAATTTAAATATGGAGTGGGGTGTGCAATTAAATATGGGGTAAACTAACACGTTCTACAAAACACGAGTTCCCGTCTTGATGCTGTAGTGGCTTTAAACTCTGACATTAATCTCCTGCCCTACGGGGGAAAATAAAATTTTAAAAAAAATCTTGATTTAAAAAGAAAACATATTTGATATAAAGGGATTTCTTTTTTAAAAAATATAGTAATTTACATATTAGACATTTCTAGAACTCCCATATATCAGTGCAGACTAGTAAACAAGTAACAACAAACAAGAATTAATTAAAATGATTTTTCATGAGAGAACAGGGAAATACAGCTATGTATGAAGTATGGACTTTCGAACTTTGAATTATCTTTGCTTCCTTGTTGGTCTTTTTTGGTATCTATGAGACCTGAAAAATCTGGAACACCTAAAAAATCAGGTACTTTTTGGAACATGGAATATTGAGGGAATTTTATTTTTATAATACCAAAAGTCTGGGAATTTTACAAGCATGGAGATTTTTCTGTTCTAGCTCATCGAATCATTACTGATCACAAAAAGTGTAGATAATAATGATGTATGCATGAAGGCAAACACTGTTTCTGTTCCAATAAATGCAATATATATATATATATATATATATATATATATATATAATGTTTTAATATCAAAAAGTTTTAATAGTCAGTATTAAGAATATTGTTTTTATTGTCAAAGAGGAAGGTTTCTTTGATAATTTTATTTACATATACCAAAGAGAAGCTGTTTAACATTTGTTAGGTTTCTTAATAAGTTAAAGGTGTATCATAAAATTTTATCATTTTTTTATAAGGTTTTGTGGATTAAATTTAGCTTCCACTTCTTAATTAATAATGAGCCAATTGTAGTGGTTAAGTTGTCGCCCCTGATATTTATTATTTTGATTTTTGTTATTGTAGGGTATTATGTATTTGCATATTTTAAGTATATAATGATTTTTATATTTTTAATTTAGGAAAAAGCTGATAAAGGAATGGACAGCTTATGGGGATTGAGACATCGTGGGTCAGGTTTGATGGGTGCTGTGCTAGATGTAGAAAGTGGTAGATGGGTCAGGCGTGAATCTGGTGTTGGAGCTGGCATTGATTCTTATTATGAATATTGTTTAAAAGCTTACATCCTTCTAGGAAATTCAAAATACCTATCAAGATTTAATAAGGTACTTTTAAAATTTTATTTATTTGTTTTTAAGATATACTAAGAGTAACGTCTTATTTATTTTGGAGATTTATTAATTTCAATTGATTATTTAGCCTAGCTTATAATTATTCAAAGAAATTAGCATTTGTAATAATGAAGAAATGGTTGAGTGTAGATACTTATATTAGAATTGGTTGGGAGTGAGAGTCAGTGAAGTACAAAAAATTGTTAATTTTCTTGCCTAAGTTTTTAGGCCTACTTCAGGACATAGCAATGAGAAGACAACCAGATCATGTTAGTAAGAAAGAGAAAGAAAACTTATAAAAAATAAAAAGATGCGAATGGTGTGAAAAATAGTATGTTATATACCTATCTATTTCGCCACTATAATTCGATGATGAGCTTTGGCCTCCTCCACCAGTTTCCTCCATTCATCTCTGCTCTCTGCAGACATCATCTCCAGCTTCTGACTCCAAGGATATTCCTTGTGTCTCTCGCAACACCATATGAGTTTTGGTCTCTCCCTTGTAATGGCACAGTGTGGTTCTGTCAGAATCATTTAAGGTATTATTTCGTCATCCCATCCTAGCCAGGTGACCAGTCCATCTCAGTCTTCCAAGTTTTTTTTTCAGAATGACATCTTCATAAAACATTGAGTAAAATTTGATGTTCGTCTACTTTCTCCAATTTCCATTGATATGAATTCCTCCAAAAATTATTCGAAGAATTTTCCTTTCAAAGACAAGGAAGTTTAGCACATTTTTCTTACTATTTTATTGATTTATAAGTTTTAAAGAGCAGGATACTTTTTTCTTCAGATTCAACTGTTAAAATGTGTGATTCCAATCCTCAGTCTCAACCTCAACAACAGAAAATTCCTATCCATCATCTACCCCTAAGGGTCAAACTTCCGCCACAGCACCCTCATCAATCCCATCCTAAGGTCGTAACAAAATCTTCACCACAAATACTTTCGAATGCAGACCTTCCTCGTACACAACGACGGATCCTGTTTTCAACTATCACTCCTAACCATAATGATCACCCACCACAATATTCTAATCCAAATCAAGTTTATAACTAACATCCAATAGATATAACTACGATCCTTTCATCCTTCCTATCAGATTTACAAGATACTATAAAACTGTTATCACCCTTCTCACTAGAATCCTGACCGAAATCCCATTTAATTTTCCACGATGTGTGCAAAGCCCCTAGCTATCCTTTTATGGAATGCTAATGGACTAAAAAGATATAATATTTCTTCATGACAATTATATTGATTTTGCTCTACTGACTGAAACTCACTCAATGGACAAAATTCTACATTTGTGACTACATCACTTACAGATCTGACCACCCAGACAATACCTCTCATGCCGGTTCTTGTATCTTCATACATAAATCTTTATCCCATTCCCTTATCCCTTCCACTCCAACTGATGCCATTCAATCAACTTTTGTAATCCTTTCAACACGTCCTTTCCATCTAACATTCTCAGCTGTATACTGTCCTCCTGGAAATTCCCTCTCTCATAGCCTTCTTGATTTCTTACTCCAATCCCTCGGATCGCACTTTATTGCTGGAGGATACTACAATGCTAAACACCAATGATTGGGTTGTCGAACATCAAACTCCCGTGGCGTGGTAACATCCTTTCATGTGTTTCAACTTCCAACAGCTATTCTATCCTCTCGCCCATGAATCCTACTTATTGGCCAGCATCCCTCAAAAAACGTCCCTATATCCTGGATATATTTATCACCTCCCAGATTTTGTCTTCCCAAGCTATAATAAAATCCCTAGATAACCTTTCTTCAGATCATAGTTCAGTTCTGCTTTTACTACATTCGAACAATGCTCCTACACCCTCACATCCTACATTGATTACTAGTCGAGTTAACTGGGACAGATTTCGGGATGATTTAGAAAATACACTAGACTTGAAAATTCCACTTCAGACAAAACAAGATATTGATAGTGGAATAGACAAACTTACAGCAATAACAGCCAAAATTAATAGAACATCTGTACCAGTAAAGTTAATAATTCATAACGGACTAACTTGTCATAGCATATTCGTATCTTATTTAAGAGAAAAACGCAGAGCAAGATCCAAGTGGCATAGAACTAGATATCCAGCAGACAAAACATATTACACCCAGCTGACTAACAAACTAAAATCAGAAATTAAAAAATTTAAAATTCTAAATTTATTAACTTTTACTGAAAAACTAACAACTACTGACAACTCACTATGGATTACCACTAAGAAGCTCCTAAAATTTAAAGATCATAATCATCCACTACTTACTGAATATCAAACCTGGTCCAAATCTGACCAGGAAAAGACCCAAATATTTGCTTGCCACCTCTTCAAAATCTTTAATCCACATCCTGATATCCTTAATCCTAATCACCTTGAATGTATTGAAGCAGAACTGAATATTCCACTCCAAATGACTCTTCCATCTAAAGCATTCCATCCTTCAGAAATATCCACTATCATTAACAGATTACCTTCCCGTAAAGCTCCTGGACACAATCTCATTACTTCACAGATCCTAAAATTGCTTCCTTGGGAAGCCATATTATTCGTTACTTATTTATGTATATAATGCAGTGCTCTGCACCACATATTTTCCTGACCCATGGAAATTGTCCATTGTCAAAATGATAGACAAACTTAAAAAGCCACCACAATACTCATCTTCTTATCGTTCTATCTCTCTTTTACCAGTCATGGGCAAAATCCTGGAAAAGCTCATTTTAAAATGCCTGTACCATCCTATATTCTAATAATATAAACAAATCCCTGATCACCAATTTTGATTCCACACATCCCATTCCACTATCCAGCAATGTCATCGTGTGGTAGACGTAGTCTCCTCTGCATTGGAGCGCAGAATGTACTGCACGGGTGTCTTTCTCGACGTTGAACGGACGTTTGATAGAATCTCGCATCCTGGATTGATGTACAAACTCAAGATGAAGAATTAAAATAAATTCTATCAAATTACCTTCACTCTTCGAACCTATGACTTCCTGTCCTACAATATCCTTTAGCAATTCCCCACTTATCCCTGTTGAACAAATCCGATACCTAAGACTCCATCTGGACAAACGACTCACTTGGAATCCTCATACAAGACTGGATCAACGTTTTCGACTACTCCAGCACTTAGTAGACAAATGTTCTAAACTTTCTATATATTACAGAAGACTCATATACATGACTATAATAAGGCCAATCTGGACTTACGGAATTGAGCTTTGGGATTCCACTAAACCATCGAATTCCTCTCGTATCCAATCCTTACAATCCAAAATCCTTCGTAAAATCCTCAATGCTCCTTTGTCACAAATAAAATCTTTCATAATGACCTTAACGTACTATATGTTTCCAATGTAGCCCAAGCCAAATACATATCCTTCCATAAAAAAATTCAAAACCATCCGAATCCTCTCATTTCAAACTTTGCTTCCTCTTCGATACCTAATAACCCTCCAAGACGTCTGAAAAGAAGATGGCCTCGTGATCTACTTATGTAAATATTTTATTAGAGTGCTATGAATGGGTAGTTTCTCAACAAGCGTTTTTATGTGATTGTATTATTAGCTTGTGCACATTTACTGGGTGTATTTCTAATTTATACTGTTGTAAATCTCATGAATAAATAACAAAAAAACAAGTGTGATTATGTAAATCATAGTTTCCTCCAAACTGACATCTCTTCGGCCATAGCTTTCCATCCAACTACAACCAGGCTCTTAAGATCATTTTCGATATCTTGCAGGCAACAAAGTCTAGAACTTCTTCTTCCTCTTCCACCCAGGTCTTCCTCTATCATTGTTAAGTGAATAATCATCGCTAATTATTAACGTGTGGCAATAAAATGGAAATTTTGAACTGTCTATTGACAAGTGCTTGTGTATTTTTTTTTTCCATTACCCTACTAAGCGAAGCAACACAAGGATTATGTGTTTGTGTTATCCGCTTAAAGCGTGTAACTATTTTTTGAGCGAACGGCTGGATAGTTTTTAAGTTTGATGGCTCAAATTATTCAGTGAGATCAGTGGAGTGTTTTAAAATAATTTGAAATAAAAATATTGACCCGTTATTAAATAAAATGTATTTAATCAATTTGCAGAAAGTTATGTAACAATTTTTTAAGTGAATGGTTGGATGATTTTTTTAATTTCATGGCTCAAATTGTTCGGTGAGATCTTCTGAGTGTTTTGTTATAATTTGAGCTAAAAATACTGACCCGTGATTATAATAATAAAGTGTGTTTAATCACTTTGCAAAAAGTTTTATAATGATGTTTTCAACAAACAGAGAGATAGAATTTTATGTTTTTAATTTATATTGAATTTTTAAGTTAGATATCTTAAATTATTCAGTGAAGTGCTATGGTATGGCTGTTTTGAAGGTATTTGATCTTTAAATTCTGACAAATTATTATGTAAAGTGTTTAATCAGTCTGCTTAAAGGTATGTAATGATTTTTAGAGCAGATGGCTTGACCGATTTTTCACTTTGATGGCTATAATTAAATTTAATGGCTATATAATAGTGAGATACCATGAATGTTTTGAAACAATTTGAGTACAGAACACTGAAAAAAAATTTATTATAGTTTAAGTATCTCGATTATTAACTAATTTGAAATATCATGTGATCATATCGGCACTATGTTAAAGTAACGAATGTGAGCCTGTTTAATGTTGCACATTTGTTACTTTAACATGGTATCGACAATATGTTGTGAAAATAAATTGTTAATACCTTACAACTAAAATTGTGTTAAAATAATTTAATTAACTAAAAAATATTTTAATTTAAAGAAAATCCTGAATGCACAAACAATTATCTGTTTTCAGGGATGGAAAATTATGTATATCTACTTAAAAATATAGGTGGGTCACTAGTTAGGGCCTAAATATTGAAACAAGATGAAGTAGTCTGGCGCCTTCACAAATCATTAACAGTTCTTTCATTCCATATATCTCTCC